TTACAGTTTATCAGATTAACATTTACAGTTTATTAGATTAACATTTACAGTTTATTAGATTAATATTTTCAGTTTATTAGATTAATATTTTCAGTTTATTAGATTAATATTTAGTTTATTAGATTAATATTTTAAGTTTATTAGATTAACATTTACAGTTTATTAGATTAACATTTACAGTTTATTAGATTAACATTTACAGTTTATTAGATTAACATTTTCAGTTTATTAGATTAATATTTTACGTTTATTAGATTAACATTTTAAGTTTATTAGATTAACATTTTAAGTTTATTAGATTAACATTTTAAGTTTATTAGATTAACATTTTAAGTTTATCAGATTAATATTTTCAGTTTATCAAAGGCTATTTTATTCATGTATAATAAAAAAGGGGTAGTGTTCTCCACAAAATGAAAAATTAAAATTCAGGTAAGGATTGTTTCTATCTATTAGAAAAAATACTTTTCAACCCTGTTTACATTTTGTTTTCTTAGAAAGAAAGAGATTTTCAGTGAATGTTTTGTTTTCATCTAAATAAAATGAGTTATTACCTTTAGATTATACAATTAACATTATATTAACTTCACATCTAGAGACAGATCCCATACTGTATATGCAATAACTGTATAATTAGGAGACATAATTCTACAAAAACCTATCTGGATCCTTTTTTTTTTATTTGCTGAATTGTGACTTCTCCAGACTTATTAGTAACATTATCACGAGTTTTCAGAAAATAAAATTAGTAAGAATAGAAATAGTTCATTCTACCTCCAACAACAGCTGTTGGTCTGTTTGAATTGTCTGTTTTGTTGGACATGCAGCGGACTTGCGGTCGATGTAACACCGGCAAAGAACCCCTTGCCTTTACAATAAGCATTTCTTCGAGCTTACGCCATGATTCAGAGTCAAGATCATCATCAAACCCTCTGCTCTGTACCAAATCTGATCCATCTGTGTATACATTAAGGAAGAAAATATATCACTTTTTTTTCTTACAGAATTTCGCTGTTCCACTCACACCAAATCAGTCTAACTTTTAAACATAACCTACAGAATTACGCTGTTCCACTCACACCAAATCAGTCTAACTTTTAACATAACCTACAGAATTTCGCTGTTCCACTCACACCAAATCAGTCTAACTTTTAAACATAACCTACAGAATTACGCTGTTCCACTCACACCAAATCAGTCTAACTTTTAAACATAACCTACAGAATTTCGCTGTTCCACTCACACCAAATCAGTCTAACTTTTAAACATAACCTACAGAATTACG